GATTTGCAGCGTGAAGTTAGCAAATCAGTTTGCACTTTTCAATTTTTTGGTCTTAAAAGCCAGAACTATGTGTTTAATGTATCAGGAATTAATATTGCCCGATAACTGTCTTTACGGTAGATAGAGATAATTTGCTCTCCGAAAGGACAGAGTTCTGGCTTTATTAAAATAGTTTTCGCGTAGTTCCGAACAATTTCAGTATATTCTAAACAGTTCTATGCAGTGAAATCGATAAATAATTTTTTTTTAAATTAATACTGCCCAAGAACTGTATTTCAGGCAGATAGAGATGATTTGCTGTCCGAAAGGATATACATAAAACAAGATATTTGGTAACTGTAAAAAATTACTTTAACTAAACTGTTTTGTTGAAGACACAAAATTATTTTGTTGGAGGAACAAAACAATTTTGTTCGGCATATTTTAACCAAATTGTTTTTTTTTAATTATTTATTGCTTCCACTGCATAGAACTGTTTAAAAAATGCTAAAATATGTTCGGAACTATGCGAGAACTATTTTAATAAAGCCAGAACTCTGTCCTTTCGGACAGCAAATCATCTCTATCTGCCTTAAAGACAGTTCTCGGACAATATTAATTTAAAAAAAAATTATTTATTGCTTCCACTGCATGGAACTGTTTAAAATATACTGTAATACGTCCGGAACTACGCGTAAACTGTTTGCATAAAGCCAGAACTCCGTCCTTTCGGACAGCAAATCATCTCTATCTGTCTTAGGCATTTTTCGGACAGTATTAATTTTTTAAAAATTATTTATCGGTTTTTGTTAATAAACCCACGAGTCTTTCGTTAAAACCGCGACGCGATTTATAAGAGGTTTGGAGTTATACGCGCGCGATTTAACAGGGGTCTTTTTAATCTTGCACATATGCAAGAATAAGTAAAGAAGGAAAGAATATAACCCACCCGAATTTTTGCACATAAGAAGAAATCAACATATATCGTACAACACATTCACATAATACATCAAAGTGGCGAATATTGACCACTAACTCGGCGTATCCCTTCGTTGGGCCAGATTGGACATACCTTTCGTTGCTCCCGGCCAAACAGTCTGGTCATTTTGACCAGAGATCAGGAAGGAAGAAAACTCCTTCCACACATAGTCGGTTTATCGTCACCAACAAATATTTCGTACGGTTCGAACTGTATGCGAGCGTCGATCGTATAAAAAAAATGCACGACCACGAGAAGTTAATTAAAGAAGAAAGTCAATTCTAAATATTTACTCTATAAAACTGATCAAATCTATTTTGACATTCGTTATTTGTTCGAGAATAAGACTATCTCTTTGTGACTTGATCTTTGAATTCAAAATTCAAGTATAGATATGGAAACAAAATTACTTCGCGTTATATATATTTTAATAAATTTGAATTATATTCCGTGGTAAATTAAAATTTATAATGTTAACAAAATTAAACAATTAATAATTTCTTCAAAATTGTTTGAAAAATCAATCGCGAAAACCGACCGCGAAAACAACCGTAAAAATACGAAGATGCGTGTGACTGTGCATGTATTCATGCGAGACGCATCTTGACAATGAATTGCGAGATACACATACAGAATAAATAACGTGAGACTCAGAGAAAAGAGACTTTCCGTACGATAAATAGACCGACAATTAAATATTTCAGTTAATTAATAATCTCAAATAATGTATGAAAATAATATTAAGTTTCAGCGTTCTTGTCAAAATATTCGAATCTCACATCATATTATTGTAGTTCATATATAAATTTGTTAATAAAAATGGATAGACTATAAGAGATTAGTTCGACGAATATATCAATAATAGTCGTCACATTTTGCATGAAAATATGTAATGTGCTACGACGGGGCATTCAACCCACAGTAAAAAATCGCGATCACTCTCTTTTAATGGATGAAATATATTTAAATAAATACGAAATTGTGTTGTAAAATCTATCCATTTAAGGGGATGCTGGAGTGATTCTGCACTTTTGCACCTTTCTAACCTAAAAACTGTCAGTTCACGGAAACATTTGTGTAATATACAAATTAAATGGCTTACGTGTACAGATCGAA